TAAATACTTTTCAAGGAGTTGCCGTTAAACACACTGCCAGGACAAGTTTTATGTCAATCTGAAAACAAATTTTGATTATGTTGATTACATAAGTATAATTATATATGAAGACAAAGTATGTGTGAACAATGAATTTAGTAGCGCTTAATTACGACTGTGGACTTGCCCCAAAACAGCTTATTGTATTATCAATTCCATGTAAACAATCCTCTTAACTTTTACCTACTGAATTGAGAAACTCTTAGAAGCCAAACCGCAATTTGAAGAGAGTCAAAGAGCGATCAAATTACTTCACCAAATCAAAGAGTTATGTAAAGAGAGTCGCGCAAAAAAATGAAAAAAAAACAAAAAATAAAATAATAAATATAAAACCAAAGACCAGAGATTGCGCCACACTCTAACCAAAAAAGAAAAAACAAGAAAAAAAAATTTACACTAGGCAAGCTAATACAATCAATTAAAGAACAAATACAAGAAGAATTACTAACAATAAGCATGCCGCAAACTCATATTAGCATGGCAACAAAAAAGAGTGAGAGTGGTTTTCCAACTGAGCTGAACTGAGCTGAAGCTGATTTGTGAAGTCATAAAATGGTCAAAGTGTACACATGCATACATACAAAGCAGTTGTGTAGGCATGCGTGTAAATGAACGTGCGGGTATGTAAGTGACCAGTTCAAGTGAACTTGAAGCCAACGATTTGGCGTGCTCAAGAAGTGCTGGTATTAGAGCAGCGGCATATTACAAGGTTAATAGTTAAAGAAAAAAACAACACTAATTATTATTGCAAATAAAAGTAAAAAATGAAAAACTTAACAAACAAATATATATCATATATATATCATTAAAAAATATAAAAAAAGAACAAAATGTAAAAAATGAATAAACAATAATAATAAATATAAATAAAAATTCTATTACACAAAATATAATAAAATGGAAATATATTGTCAAATTAAAAATTAAAATAAAAATATAATAAAAAATACAATTAAATAAAAATAAAAACAAACTTTGATAATATGAAGATATAACGAAATTGAAAAATGTATGAAATAAAAAATTTATAAGATTAGAATACAATAAAATAGAAATAATTATAAAAACCTTGAACTACCAAAAAGTGTTATAAAATAAAAGATAATAAAAGAAAAAATTTAATAAAATGGAAACGTATTAAAAGGAGAAATATTGTAAATTAAAAATATAATAAAAAAAAATATGAAACGAAATTATAAAAAAAATATAAAATAAAAATATTATGAGAATAAAAATTTTAAAAAACTTAAAATAAATAGAAAATATTATATAAATATATAAAAAAAATAATAAGAAAAAATTTGTAAAAATAGAAATGTAATAAAATAAAAAATTTTGAAAATAAAAATATAAAATAAAAAAATTTATTAAAAGAGAAATATATTATAAGGTAATAAATATATAAATACAAAATAAAAAATATAGTTAATTCAAAATACAAAAAATTTCATAAACTAAAAATATAATGAAATGACAGATGTTTTAGAATTAAAAGTTGTACGAAATAAATGTATGACAAAATAGATAATATTATAAAAGAAATATATAAAATAAAAATTTTATGAAATAAAAATATAAAAAATAAAAATCGAGAATAAAAAATAAAAAAATTAAGTTTTAACAAAATAGATATGTAATAAAAAAAAATTTGTAAAATAATATATATATAATATATGATATTATAAATTAAGAAGATTCTAAACAAAATATTCTATTAACAAGGTAGAAATGCAATAAAATAAAAAAAAATTGTTAACTAAAAATTTATTTGAAAACAAAATTGTAAAAAAACAAAGTATAAAGTTATAATATAACGAAATAAAATTTTTAAAAAATTTATAAGAAGTAATATAAAAAATAAAAAAAAAATATATTAATAAAATATTTTAATAAATAAAAAAAATGTAAGAAAATAAAAAAAAATCAAATGTAATAAAATGAAAATATAAGAAATACTATTACACAAAAATATAGTAATTTGGAAATATATTGTAAAATTGACCACTTAAAATAAGGGAATCATAATAAAATATATAATTAGATAAAAATGAAAAAAAACTTTAAAATAATAAAAATATCAAAAATCAAATGAAAAACTTTATAAAACAAAAAACTGTATAACTTAAGAATATTATTTAATAGAAAATATTATAAAAGAAAAATATTGATATAAAAATGTTATGAAATAAAAATATAAAAAACATAAAAAAAATAAAATAAGAAAATTTTAATAATATAGAAATGCAATATAATAAAAAAAATTGCAAAATAAGAACATAAAATAAAAAATATTCCAAAACAAAATATTCTAATAAAAATTAAAGAAATTTAATAAAATTAAATATTTTGTAAAATGAAAAAATATAGTAAAATAAAAATGAATTAATAAAATTAGTCGATAAGAAATGTAGTGAAATAAAAAGTACTATAAAAGAGAAATATTTTAAAATATAAAACAATAAAAAAAACATTACTGCAAATAAAAAAAAAAAATTATAATAAATCTTATAAAATGGAAAGAAATTACAAAACATAAAATTCCAAAATAAAATACAAAATTTTAATATTTAAAATTTTATGAAAAATGTAAAAATATTTAAATAAATACACTAAAACTAAAAAGTTAAGGAAAAAAATTTGTGAATTAAATTGAGAATGACAAAAAATAATAATAATAATACAAAATAAAACAAGTAGTGAGCGTAATGAGTAATGCGACGCTATAATGCCAACTGAGCTCACGAGTTGCAGCCGGAGCGCAACAGTAGTGGTCATAGCAACAATCGCAAGTAATTCGCGCAGATTTTTTCTGCTATCAACATTTGACTTTGCTTGCATTTTTTTACGAACCGATATGACTGTTTTGTATGTTTTTGCATTGACTTTTTGTTTTTTTTTAAAGAGTTTTGCTCTGCATTTTCAACTCAGCTCATTTCAACTCGGCAACCAAACTCAGCTGTTGTGAGCGCGACTTCGACTTTTTATTTATTGCTTTTATGTTTCTTATTTGCTTTAACTGTTATTGTTGCTATTGTTTTCAGTTTGTTATTGTTTTCTTCTGAGTCTCGATCTTGGTCTTGAGCATGTATTCTGCGGATTACAAAAGTTTGCTGGTCTAAATGGCGCACACAAGCACACACACACACACACAGCCCTGTGTACACATATGCATGTACGTATGTATGTATGTATTTGCTATCAGTTTCAATTTTTAGTTTCTGTTTCAGATCATTTTAGTAATTCAGTTAAATGCGGACGCTGAAGCGATTCGGACGCAGAACTTGACTTGAACGGAAGGCTTAAATAAAAAGAGAATTGCTGCGGCACGTTAAGTAGCAAAAGCAAATAGTTAATGCATTAACTTAAGAGCAAAGAGGAAGCGGAGGTAGCCGAAGTAACAAATAACTTGCGAGCAATAACAATAACAACAACCTTAACAGTAGCTGAAGGTGTATCTGGTACGACGAAAAAGAATTTTTAATTTTTTTTTTACCGATATATTGAGAACTTACGTGCAATTTTTTTCGAATTTTTTCGTAACAAACAGCAAAAATTGTAGAGTTTTTCGCATTATTTATTTTACAGCGTTTTTTCACACTTCATTGTGTCGAAGGCAAAAAGTGGTAAAACAATAAATAAAAAATAAATAAAAAATAAATAAAAAATAAATGAGAAATCTAAAAGTAAAAGTCAATGCAATAAGCGACAGCCAACGAGCATTGAGAACGAAATATAATAATATTAATTATTACAAATAGCATTGGAGTGTGCAAAACTAAAAACAACAACAAAGAGTTAAAGTTGTTGATAAAATAAACACACAGCTGAAAACCGATTTAAGGACATTCTAAAAAACAAAAACAAAAAACCAAAAACGGGTAACAACGCGACGTGTTAATTAATTCGAAAAAAATCTATTCGAACCAGTCAGTTATATTCAGTTTTCAGAGTGTGTGCCAAAAAAAGTAGAAATAAAATAAAATAAAAAGAAGAAAAAGCGAAGAGAAATAATTTTCTTTGAAAAATAACACAAATACCACAAAAATTGTAAAATAGTACAAAGTGGAAACTAGTTTGAAAATTAAAAAAAAAATTATACAAATATTGATAAAATAATAAAAAAATTACGAAATTTGAAAGATATCAAAAATTAGAAATATTTAAAAAAAATATTTTTTTAAGTGCAAGGAAATATTTAAAAACACCTTAAGGCATTAATCTAAAAAAGGAAAATATCGAGCGAATTTAATTAAACTTGTTAAAAAATAATAATAAGTTAGTAAGTAAGTAAGTAGAACAAGTAAAAATAAATCCAAAATCAATACAAAGTAACTTCTCCAATAAAAATTACCGGAAATTATTGAATAATTTTCCACCGAGGTAATTTTTTCTTCACAAAAATATTCAAACAATTTTTCCGGAATATTTTATATATTTGAAACTTGTTGAAGTAAACGTTTTATAAATTTTATTGAAATGAAATAAAAATAAAATATATTTTTTTTTAACTAAATAAAAAAATAACAAAACATAAAATACACTCAAATACAACTCAAATAAAAATAAAATGCGCATTTTTTACTAAATAACAAAAAAAATATATACACTTTTTTATTATAAATTAAATAAACATAATAAACGAACAATTGTTGAATTTTAAAACGCCTAAAATTTGCAATAAAAATTTTTAATTTGGAGCAAATTTGAAAAACTTGGTCAAGTGAGCTGAAAGCAAAACCTAATTAAGCACAAATTAATAGAAAAAGCACAAAAAGAAAAAACTAAAAGAAAAAATTAACTAGAAAATCATAAACGAATTAGTCAGTTGGTCAGTTAATCACTCGATCAGTCAGTTTAAAAATAATAAAAAAAAACTTGCTAAAACTGCAAAAACTAATTTAAGCCATATTAACGAAAGAAACCATTTTAAATTGTTAAAAAACGTAAAGAAAATCTAGCGAAAATAATACGAAAACCAAAATAACAAAAGACCAAAACTTTTAAAACAACGAAATTGTGCCAAAAGAAAAAAAAAATAATAAAAGTGAAAAAAAAAACACCTACCAAAATAATAGTAAGCGGAAAAATCGTCGATATTTTCTGTGCAAATTCGTACAAACCAAAATCGCGCGCGCGCGCGCGTTAAACAGCTGCTCTTTTATGCAAGTGTTGTATGCTTTGCTTTGAGAATTTCGAATTCGACGCTTCAAGTGCTTTATGTGTGACACACTGCGCAATCCACACAAATTTGCAAGTAAATAGCGATAAAAATAGGAAAAGAAGCAACAAGAAAGCGTTAATATTACGAAAATACAATAAAGCAACAACAACAAATGTGTTTCTTCTTTTTTTTTGCAAAACGGAATTCAGTAACGAGCTAAACGCAGTGCCTGTAGCATCTTCAGCTAATAGTTGAAGCAGCTTTTCAGCCAACAAACAAAAAAAAAAACGTTTTTCACGAAAAAACAACGACAAATAAATAAATCACAATCAAAACACTTGGCACTAACTGCATTTAACAAAAAAAGAATAAAATCAAAAATATAAAGAAACCACAGAAATACACAGTATTGCGCTGAAAGAGAACATCATTAAAGTAACGAAAACGAAACAAAAAAAGTTAAAATCGAAAAATTAAAATAAAAAAATATTAACAGAAAAAAGCAACTTCTTTGGAATTTCAAATACAATACAATAAATTTGGGATTAACCAGCTGCATTAATCGCCTCTTCGGTGTCGGCATCAACGGAAATTGCTGACTAAATGTGGTTTTTGCCTTGCATTTTTTTGTTGGTAAGTTGTTGTTTTTGTAATTGTTGTGTTAGTTAGTAAGTGATGAGTTTAAAAATATTCCAAAAAATTAAAAAATAAAAAATCTAAAATTTTATGAAAAATTACAGTGAAAAAAAAAATAATTAAAATAACAGAAATATTAAATAAAATTAAAAATTAATAGAAAAAAAATAACAAACCCAAGACCATGCGATCTTTTTTAAATTATTCCGTTCATTAAAGTTTCAGCAATGTCTTAATCCCAATTTCTACATGATGGGACATTATTTACTTTCAATTTCTTTGGGTTTTCATCTGTTCTTGCTATTTTATAGCGTTTTTTTAGCAATTGTTCTAATATATTCCTCTTGAAATCTATCATTTATGCTGTTTATACTGCTCGATAAATATTGTATTAAATTCTATTTTTATGTAAAAATAGGCAGCGTAAATATGAAAATTATTGACGCGACCATTGCGAATATGTGCACAAATTCATGTAGATATGTATATAACCACGGCATAACATATCGATCGTACTCGTACACTCACCCATTCATACGCTAGTCTTCGTCGCCGTAGCATTGTGCAGTCTAAAGCTCAGCTGGTTATGCTCATTGTTGCCACACCACTCTTGTTGCACGGTGTTTTTTTGTTTATTTAAGATAAAATATAATAAAATAAAATAAAATAAAAAAATAATTAAAATAAAAAATTAAGTAAAATAAAATAAAATAAAATAAAATAAAATAAAATAAAATAAAATAAAATAAAATAAAATAAAATAAAATAAAATAAAATAAAATAAATTTTTTTATTTATAACCAAATTCTTTATCCACATTTACTATTTAAGAAATTTTAAGATCTTGCGCTGGTTTTCTGTAACACAGTTTGAAGCACTTCAAAATATAAATATTTTTAATATAATCTCAAAAGTCAGTGGGAACCACTGTACCCACCATACCATCAGCTGGCCTTCTCCTCTTATATTTTTTTTGCCAACGCTTGTTGTTATTGTTGTTGTAATATGCATCGTGATTGTTGTGGCACAAACACAAAAGCGAAAGAAAAATAATAAATAAAGTCAATCTTAAAACAAAAATAACATTATTTCGAATCATTCAAATAGCAATTTGTAAATATGTGTGGTATATATAACATATACATATATCTGTTTGTATGTATGACTCGTTAACTGGGCTGCGTATCATTCAAAAACAAAAGAAATGCCATTGTAAGTAAATAAAGATAATGAATTTGCAGCAAATGCGTTGAACGCGCCAGATTTGCCCCCGAAATAAGCGAAACCGAAAGCTAACCAAGAAACCCAATAACGTTAAGCAAATATTGAGGGGGGGGGGGAAGAAACAGGTAAAACTTTTTATTGGTTGTAAAATAAAACAGGGCAAATGTGCTATGCAAACAAAAGACTTAAGACACAAACCCAACTTGGAGCATAACTGAACGTATGCACATATACACATAGAGTGTCTATATGTTTGCATATAAATTTTAATGCTTATATAATCATTCGTAGTTATAAATGTATGCACAGTTGTGTTTGTATTCAAGGTCATGGATGAAAGTACCAGCAAAGCCAATACATGTATGTATGTATGTAAGTATGGAGTATGGAAGCTTGTATGTACATATGTTTCAGCGTTTGTTTGTGCACCAGCAAGTGTCGATTTCAATGCATTAGGGCAATAGGCTACACACTTAAATAAATAGATGCAAAAATTACAGATACATATACATATATTTTTATATATGTACATATTTTTAGTTATTTTTTATTTACTTATTTTCTGACATACAAATTTGGGTATATAAAATTTAAAAACTAAATTCGAAAAAATCGATTAAAATTTCTGTGTTCATTGCAAATGAAATAAAATGAAATTCTTTGCGTGCACCAAAGAAACATACATACATACATTTTAACATGTATACAACTCGCCAACTAAGCAAGAAAATTAGTGTGTTAGTGGTGCTTATACTGCTGGGTAGGAAGTGTTTGAGCATTTGATTGGCAGGCGTGTATGGCATGAAAAATGAAACATGAAAATTATCATATGTAGGTAACACCGAACACCAATAAAATGCACAAAATAAAAATAAAAACGCACGCCAATATAAATAAACGAAATATAAAATTTACTTACTTTACTTATATGTATGTATATTGATTATTCAGCGTAAAACTTTTCGTAAAAATTTTAGTTTTTGATATTTTTTTCCTTTGTTTTTTGATACATATTTATAAGTTGTGACTCTAATATAATATATATGTAAATAGAGCCAGTTCAATTATGTGAATGCCGTTGGTAACATAATTTTTTCGAAATAAATAATAGTTGCTCTAATGTTTCGATTTGAAGATTCCATCACGCACTAAAATTTAAAATTTTTCAAAATAACTAAACCAACAGAGTTAGGAAAGAACAAACTACTAAGAGAAAATTGCCACTCGTTAGATGCGTTGATTTCTGCAGGCATTTAAATAATTGATGAAAAAAATCTAAATTAATTCATTTACTGGTTTTATATATTTATACTTCCTTTGTGGAGCAATCTCGGTTAAATACAATAATAATATTTACCAAAGTTGCTTATTTTAAGTGTAAAAACTCTCAATTTTCTGTTGGGAAATTAAATAAATTTTATAGTTTAACTGAAGGGTGTTTTTTTTAGACATGTGCTTTTCAGGAAGAAAAAAAAAACATATAACTTAAAGAATTTTGCTTTATTATGAAAATAAGGTTGTGTCAAGGTGTTTTAAAAATAATTTCCAGCAAGTCGCCATCGCGGATGGCTCGAATAATTTTTAGCTGAGATTGTCAATTTTCAAACAATTTTTGCAGTAATTAAAGCCGTATGTAAATAGTGACGCATCGAATATTCTTTGCTTAGATAAAGGTCTTAATATAGCCTCAAAAAAATAAAATAGTTCAGTGGTGTTAAATTACTTTGTCTTGAAAGCCACGGCATCGGCCCATGACTCGAAATATTGCGCTCACTAAAAGTTTCCTTCAATTAAATTGATTGTTTCGTTGGTTGTATGACATGTAGCGCCGCCTTATCGGCACCAAAAGCCATCCACATTTACAATCTCCAATTCAGGCACAGAAAAGTCTCTAATAAGGCTCTATAGCGTTCCCCATTGACTCTAACACTATGACCGGATTTCATTGTTGAAGAAATTAGCAACAATTATACCCGCTGCCCATAGAATTTAAAATAGACTTTTTGAGGATGTAACGGCCCCTCAACATAGACTTATGAACAATCATCCCTCCAAAAACGGTATTATTATTTATTAACGTACTCATTCAATCAAAAGTGCGCTTCATCGCTGAACAAAATTTTCCTGTGAAAATCGAGGTCGTCGACCATCTTGTCTTTGGCGCATTCACTGAATAAGCGTTGCGTTTGAGGGTCGATCGGTTCCAACTATTGCACGAATTAGATTTTGTAAACCCGCAAACTAAGAGTCTTTCACAAAATTATCCATAAAAAGTATAGGTTCAAATTGCTGCGCGCAATAGCAAATGAACTCATTCTGGGTTTCATCCACACACTACTCCACAACAACAAAAGCATCTTCGGTGCGATATAAAAGTTCATGAAAATATTTTCTTCTCTCATTGCGTTTTTCTACACTTGCAACAGATGAGTAACGTTTTATTTCTTAAAATTGCCGACAAGACTCTGCTTTGTATTGCTTCTAATGTAATCTTGCTTCAGTAATATTTCCTATTTATATTTTATCGATGAATTATGACATATACGGGAGAACTCCTTTCTGTGGAATTAAAAAAAATTGCTATTTTATTGATGCGCAGCACGATTTCTTTCCGAAACAGTGAGGTATACTGAGTGTGCTGCAGCCGTTCAAAGACATTCTCCCAGAGGTAGAGCTAGTATAACATTAATACATTTCTTCCAATTACTCTTTCGATAGTTTCTCCACTTTCAATAGGATCTTGAGATTGAAAGTCAGAGCCAAAGGTTCGATATCCATAGATATTATATTATACATGTTTCTATCTCATTTATGGAATTTCCTTATAGAAATGTCAAACCCCTTTTCATTGCTAAGTTGAAGATTTAGGAAAAGTAATTTGTTCTGAATCACATTTGATTGAATGACATGAATCGTTTTGACTCGGTCATCGCGTCATCTTCTATATACAAAAATCTTTGAGAAGATGCGCATGCAACGAAAAGTTACCAATTTTCTCGAAATTTTGACAAATTGTTTGTATGGTTCCTGCAAAGCTTTGTATGAAATTCTATTTCAGGAAGTGGACTAGGGACGAAGCTATGCGAAAGATAGCAATACTTAACTTAAAACTCGCATTTATATATATTTGTTGTGCTTTGAAACTCCTTTCTTAAGGGAAGTGCATTTATTTGGTTTGAAATCAATAAAAATATGGAATACATTTGTTTTCTGCAAGGTTGAATCGTAACGATAAAATTCCTGTTATTCGAAAAATTTCTATAGTTTCAAAATAAATTTCTTTTCGTTCTTACCCGAAACGTAAAGCTTTCGTTCAACTTAAATCGTGAACAGATAATGTCAAGCGTTAAAATTGCAGTTAAATCATAGGGAGGAGCCATTTTTAAATGTTAACGATTACATATTGTTTTAATAACATGTCGCCGGAACGAAACGATTTCATATCGTTCAGTTAATGTTTCTTGCTAGCCAAACGGAATGATATCATTGCCCTTGGCAAGTATTTTTCGTTTTCTGGAGATGGTCCAGCAATCTGAAATCAAGTCAAGATATTCATATTAATATATTCTTGAAGCATATTTAGTAGCCAAGAATAATATTTCAGATTAAACGATGATTAATTAAATTTTTTATCGTTCTTTGCAATAAAAATTAGAATAAAAATTGGATAAAATACAGAAATCCACAGCAACGTGTGAACGGGTCGGCTAGTTTATTAGAAAATAAGCAACGAGACACACGCGGATATAAAGGTTAACGGCTTATGTCACCAT